GACAATACAGACAATGGAGTTACATACAGGACAACACAGACAATGCAGTTACATACAGGACAATACAGACAATGGAGTTACATACAGGACAATACAGACAATGGAGTTACATACAGGACAACAACACAGACAATGCAGTTACATACAGGACAGTACAGACAATGGAGTTACATACAGGACAATACAGACAATAGAGTTACATACAGGACAACACAGACAATGCAGTTACATACAGGACAATACAGACAATGGAGTTACATACAGGACAACACAGACAATGCAGTTACATACAGGACAATACAGACAATGGAGTTACATACAGGACAACACAGACAATGCAGTTACATACAGGACAATACAGACAATGGAGTTACATACAGGCCAACACAGACAATGCAGTTACATACAGGACAATACAGACAATGGAGTTACATATAGGACAACAATACAGACAATGGAGTTACATACAGGACAATACAGACAATGGAGTTACATACAGGACAACAACACAGACAATGCAGTTACATACAGGACAATACAGACAATGGAGTTACATGAGTGAGTACTACTATACCCCAAGTCTAGTCATTATTCCACCCCACCCCCTGCTACCTATTCCGAGCTCGGGCCTGGTTGCCTCCGCCTCCAAACCACTCTCCTCCTCTACACATCTCATCTTCCTCCCCTCGTGACGTCCTCCATCCCTCTCCATCCCCATAGGGCGCGCGGCTCCCCATCTATACCGCTTATCTCGCCATTTTTCCCGCGTCCGTCATTCCGCTTATGTTTGTACATGCGAACCGACAGGCACTTAGTCTTGACAAATCTTGACGTGGGTGGTATTAGTAGGTTTTGACTACAGTATAGAGCAAATGCGTCGGTGAATGGCTATAGCTCAGTGGAGAGAGGGCTGCCATTTGGAAACGCTGTCGTTTGACCGAACCATTGGAATAGCTAGTAAATCTTATTTATATTTCTGTTTATATTTCTAATTCTATTGATCAAACCGACTCTAGGTTCGCTCAAGCAGCATAAAATTAGGCATTACACTCAGTGGCCACAGTCGGAGGCGTGGCAGCACCTGCCTATATGACTATATTCAAAATTACTGAACGCTGAAAAAAAGTTGACGTCAAATGACCTCTGAGGTCAACCTAATATAACTACGTCTTAACCAGAAACCATTGTGCGTGCGTGTGTGTCCCGTGCGTGGGCGTGAGTGTGCGCGTGCGCGTGCGTGTATGTGTGTAAAAACCAGGTTATAGCGAGTAACGAGGACAACTCACCGCGTCTGTTGCCTAAATTTATTTAACTAATCTACGTTCCTCTGTGCTGGAAAGTAGAGCCACTAGAAACGCTACACAGCCGCTGTGCTACTTCTTCAGCTGTTCGTCGGCACTGTTGTTATGGTATCATATAATCACCCGATGTAAGTAGAGCGAGCTGTGCTACACTTCTTGTATTAGCGGGGTTTAAGTATGCCGATGGTTTCCCGTATTGCTTTGCTCCGACTGGGAATGAGTTCATAGATTAATCTGTTGAGGAATGTTTATAATAGGGAGCGAGCGAGCGCGTTTAAAATTTCATCTCTTGTTGGCCAGATGTGTTGAAGAGAGGAGCGAGAGAGAGCGAGAGAAGCGAGAGCGAGAGAGAGAGAGAGAGAGAGAGAGAGAGAGAGAGAGCGACAGCGAGAGAAGAGCGAGAGAGAGTGAGAGAGAGAGAGAGGGAGGGAGTGAGAGAGAGAGAGAGAGAGAGAGAGAGAGAGAGAGAGACCGGAATACTCTCTAATTTCAGTGGCATCTGAATACTCCATAATTTTGGGCTGTGCATCTGGAATACTATTTAACCTGCAGCCAGCACCCGAATAATACATAAGGCAAATCAGTAACCAATAGTCCAATACACAACATTT